CTGCAGAACAACACAGATGCAATTAGAGGCTCACAGGTGTACGAGATCAATGGCATGTACTGGGAGGGGTGACTTGTACGCTCATATAGTAAAAATAAGGAACGTATTTGGGGTCATATTTGAAATAATATTGTACATGTAGAAAGCGTGACATGTTTAGGTACAGGTAATAAGACAATGTCAGTGATAGGCAACGTAGTGAGTAATAGGAATAAGATGAGGGTAATAAGAATAATCAGAGGGTAAATCACTAGTGTGATATTTACATATAGAGGCTATTAGGCATATAAAGAGGGTGAAAGATATCAACAGAGGGTACGTTATGAAGGAGACAAGAACTCGTAGACAGCAATAACTACATATGGAGGAGTGACAAGAACTGTTAGAGGAGCAATAGATGAAAACTGAAGGTAGGAGAGTAATACCACCTTACCAAGGATAACATGAACTGGTAGAGGGGGGAAGCAGGTACATAAAGCAGATGACATGAATATACATTTCCAGGCGAGGACTCTCTTTCAGGCTTGGAGAACGCTAGTGCTAGCCAGGCTGAGAATCCCTTTCAGGCTTCCCGAACACTGGTGCTAATACTAGCCAGGCTGAAAATCAATCTAAGGTCTCATGGACACTGGTACTGGTGCTAAACAGGCTAGGAATCAAACTGAGGCTTCACAAACACTGGCGCAGGTGCTAGTAAGGCTAGAAATTCCTCTCAGGCTTCATGAACACTGGTGCTGGTGCTAGCAAGGCTGGAAATCCCTCTCAGGCTTCACGAACACTGGTGCTAGCCAGGCTGGGAGTCCTTCTCAGGCTTCACGAACACTGGTGCTGGTACTAGCCAGGCTGGGAGTCCTTCTCAGGCTTCACGAGCACTAGTGCTGGTGTTAACCAGGCTGGGAGTCCTTCTCAGGCTTCACGAGCACTAGTGCTGGTGTTAACCAGGCTGGGAGTCCTGTTCGCCACGAATCCTTCTTACTCCCATCTTTCCTTCCAGGTGGAGACAGGACTAAGTAGCATCCCAGTTCCTGAATCCTCTAAGATGTTCTGTGATGAAGTAAGTACTTTCAAGGTGTTCCACTATTTTTTATTATCCTCTTCGGCACCTTTGGAAGTTGTCTTGCCATCTTTCTTGAATGTCTGAATCAAATCAGCTTTTTCCAGATGCCTGACAGATACACAAGCGGTATTCAGTACCGACAAGTGTCTAATTGTTCACCTGACAGATTGCTGAAAGATGACGTAAGTGTCAAGTTGCCGGGAAACCTTTATTATAACTTCTTAACAAATATTTAAATGAAGCATAGCGTCTATATGACCATTTGGCAGTTAACTTGTCGATAGTACGTTATTGAAAATCAGGGCAGGCAGTTCTACACAGGAGTGCAGCCTCTTCTAGCAGTATCCATGGTAACACAGTGGCAGATCGAGAGAAAACCTATGTAAATAATATAATATTAGCGAGCTACGGTATTTAAATGAAAAAAACTTTTCGTCCACCAGGGATTATACCGATTCATCATCTCTGGTAGTTGAAACGTCTTAGTGCCATAACCCGCGCGCTGTACGTAGAATCCTGGAGTCAGTAGAGTCAGAAATCTTTGTTTTATATATCCCGGACTGATTCAGTTACTTTCTAGTTCTGTGCAATATTCCCTTTCTAAGATAAGTTTTGCAGTAATAATAATAATAATAATGATAATAATAATAATAATAATAATAATAATAATAATAATAATAATAATAATAATAATAATAATAATAATAATAATAACAATAATAATAATAATTTCTATTTCCAGTATTTCTTTCGTCAATAAAGATACCCGAGTGTTGTGCCATCACTGCATGATTCTGGTGTAATACTGTGTACTCTGTTTACGTTATTTCCCTCCGTACCATTTATCATGAAAGGGGATCCGTGTTTTTTCAGTCTTATTTTTTTTTCTTTAGCTCGTGTCGTTTTTATTAGGTAGGTGTGGAATAACTTTCTTACTCCACAGCAATGTCTTTTTGAACTGACTTTTCTGTTCTATCTTTCTTTCAATATTAAGGTGCTAACTTAATGACCAGCCGGTGCTGCTTTACCAGTGTCCAGGAAATATGCTTAAATACTAAGAATCACATTGCACATGTGTCTTACTCAAACCCATACCAACACTGGTTATGAGTAAGACACATGTACAACACTGGTTGTGAGTGAGACACATGTACAACACTGGTTATGAGTGAGACACATGTACAACACTGGTTATGAGTGAGACACATGTACAACACTGGTTGTGAGTGAGACACATGTACAACACTGGTTATGAGTGAGACACATGTACAACACTGGTTATGAGTGAGACACATGTACAACACCGGTTGTGAATGAGACACATGTATAACACTGATTATGAGTGAGACACATGTACAACACTGGTCGTGAGTGAGACACATGTACAACACTGGTTGTGAGTGAGACATGTACAACACTGGTTATGACTGAGATACATGTACAACACTGGTTATGAGTGAGACACAGGTACAACACTGTTTATGAGTGAGACACATGTACAACACTGGTTACGAGTGATATATATGCACAACATGGTTATGAGAGACACATGTACAACACTGGTTATGAGTGAGATACATGTACAACACTGGTTATGAGTGAGACACATGTACAACACTGGTTATGAGTGATATACATGTACAACACTGGTTATGAACGAGACATATGTACAACACTGGTTATGAGCCATATACATGTACAACACTGGTTAAGAGTGAGGCACATGTACAACACTGGTTATGAGTGAGATACATGTGCAACACTGGTTATGAGTGAGACACATGTACAACACTAGTTATGAGTGATATACATGTACAGCACTGGTTATGAGTGAGACACATGTACAACACTGGCTATGAGTGAGAAACATGTACAACACTGGTTATGAGAGACACATGTACAACACTGGTTATGAGTGAGACACATGTAAAGCACTGGTTATGAGTGATACACATGTACAACGCTGGTTATGAGTGAGACACATGTACAACACTGGTTATGTGTGAGAAACGTGTACAGCACTGGTTATGAGGGAGACACATGTACAACACTGGCTGTGAGTGAGACACATGTACAACACTGGTTATGAATGAGACATTTACAACACTGGTTATCAGTGAGACACATGTATAACACTGGTTATGACTAAGATACATGTACAACACTGGTTATGAGTGAGACACAGGTACAACACTGGTTATGAGTGAGTCACATGTACAACACTGGTTACGAGTGATATATATGCACAACACTGGTTATGAGAGACACATGTACAACACTGGTTATGAGTGAGACACATGTACAACACTGGTTATGAGTGATATACATGTACAACACTGGTTATGAGTGAGACACATGTACAACACTGGTTATGAGTCACATGTACAACACTGGTTATGAGTGAGATACATGTACAACACTGGTTATGAGTGAGACACATGTACAACGCTGGTTATGAGTGATATACATGTGCAACACTGGTTATGAACGAGACACATGTACAACACTGGTTATGAGTCATATACATGTACAACACTGGTTATGAGTGAGATACATGTACAACACTGGTTATGAGTGAGACACATGTACAACACTGGTTATGAGTGATATACATGTACAACACTGGTTATGAGTGAGACACATGTACAACACTGGTTATGAGTGAGAAACATGTACAGCACTGGTTATGAGGGAGACACATGTACAGCACTGGTTATGAGGGAGACACATGTGCAACACTGGTTATGAATGAGACATATGTACAACACTGGTTATCAGTGAGACATGTACAACACTGGTTATGAGTGAGACACATGTACAACACTGGTTATGAGGGAGACACATGTACAGCACTGGTTATGAGGGAGACACATGTACAACACTGGTTATGTATGAGATACGTGTACAACACTTATCATGAATGAGACACATTTACAACACTATTAATCATTTCTGTCGAAACACTTCGTCAATACAGATTCCTAGTGTTGCACCTGTGTCTAATCCTTTACTATTCTTTACCTGTTTAACAACAAATGGCACACATTTACCGACAGTTTCTATGTAATAAGATCATAGTATCTTGTTATAGAAAAATTTGTTCAAGCAACGTCTCGCCTGTTCAACAGCGTGTTGCACAAGCGAAACATTGACTAAACAGGTTCACATAACTGCAGTTGGCGTTTTTATTATATTTTCTCATCTAATAAATAATCTTTACTGTTCTTACCCTGTCAATAAGCTCAGTGATGCACTCTTAGTGGAACGCGAATTGTCTTTGAATCTTTCACTGCATAGTGTCCGCTCGATTTCTTTTCCTTGTTTAATTTCATGATCCGCCTCTCCCCACCACTGATTCTGACCGGTAAGCCAGAGGGCGCTGCTACCTTGGTTCACTATATAGGGACAACGACTACCCAACCTTTGCTTGTGTCCTTAAACATGTCTAGCTGTGCCCCTGCCAGAGTGCCGGTATCACTGAACGGGTCATCTAATGACAGAGACCCACGACCCATGATTTTTGCTGATGGATAAATCTGGAACAACAACAATAAAAACTACAGCAGGCCACTACACAACCAGTCTCCTAGCTTTATACATTTTAGGGTTAAAATTTAGTAGAGACTTGGCATACCAGTCTCGTAGTATCCTAGGCTTTTCTCATTCATATCCTCTCTATATGTTTGCAACATCAGATGGAGAAATATATACTAGGAACCATTTGAAGCTTAAAATTGACCCTTGGAGGTACTCCACTATTTAGACTAATCCATTAATCCTGTATCACTATGTTATAACCTTATCTCCATAATTATGTAAATTTTGATATCCAATGTAATGTGTCTTGGTGTTATTGTGAGCACCGATGATTATATATTTATTTAAGGATTTCTTCATGTTTTGTAAGGATGTACGTAAGCATGTTAGTATATAAACGTTTTGA